TTTAGAAATAAAGAGAAGAATGTGACCGTATTTAATTCAAATTACAGGAATAAAAAGAAGATTCTGTAAGAAAGACAGTGCAATAAGAAAAGATGTGCTCCTGTACATTCAATCATTTTCATTCTTCTCAATTTCACTGTCCAAATCATACCAGCTCTTCTCAACACAGTCACGAACTCTCCTTACGTAACATTTCCTGTCATTGTCAAACAAATTTGCAGCCTCTAAATTAGCAGGCGATTGCACATTCGGGTCATTGAGCATCGACTGCACGCTCATCAACACAGTCATGACATTAAACGTAGGCGACCAACGGTTCGTTAAAATGTCCAAACAAAGATCGCCGTTGGCGTAAATATTGGGATGATAAACTTTGCTGATGAACTTGCAGGTTGGTGGCGTACACGGGTATGACTCATCGAAGGACATTGTCATGCTGAACGTGGCATCCTCAAAAGGAGTGTCCTTTGGTCCGATTATGAGTGCGCACCACGTTAGAATATCGTCCTGTAATGGAGCTGCGAATACCGTCCGGTTTTTCGTATTTTCTAAGTCTTTCAAATCTTTCATCAGTCTACGCTTGGTAGGAGTTGACATGGGGGGTATGAAATGACGAGGAATATAAAAGAAGGAGATAAAATGTGTAACATGTGATGGTAGCAGATCAGGTTGTACACTGTTACTATAGGTGCTGCTGCATAGTAAACATTGGTTTGAGTGACAGGACACGTTATATCCTTGATTAAAAGGCTTTTTAAAAGGGGGGTATACTCGGTGTAATAAAAAATACAAGATTTGTCTACAAACGATACAACATCATCATTACGATAATTTTAGCTTTCCTATAAATTGTACGATGGGGCAATTCTCGAAATAGGGGTGAATCACTACATGCAGCGGGCATGGTCTATCTAAGCGGAACAGAAGGATTTCTGTGTGTGGAGAGGGTAGCAAAAATAAATGCCATGGTCGGCGCTCAGCGCGCCAGGAGAGTCTGTTTGGTGTGTGAGGAATTGTAAGGCGTTAATTAAACTGACTTTCAAGCAAAAATAAATAAAAACGCTTTTAGTTAAAAAACCATAACATCTAAGAATTCAGAGGTTAGTTTTGATTTTTAGATCCTCTTACAGCAAATAAATATTTGGACTATTTTGGCAATCATGGTAACAAAAACTGTTTGTTCATCAAAATGTAGCAAAGGAGTAATTTATTATGACGGTAAAGGATGAACGTTTACGTACGTATCATGTTTACCGCCAATGATAGCACCGTAATGTATTATTGCCGTATTTTGTCAGTTTTAAAGGATATTGTCCCGTAATTACAGCACGATACTAAACTGTACAAACAAGCTTAGGATAATCGTTTGTAGAGACGCATTGCAATTTAAATATTTTACGAACACCTTCAGAATCTTTGGATAGGATCATATAATACGGCGTTACTTGTTCTTTTGTGTCTATTCCTTTGTTTCGTTATATTATAATTACCTCGGAATTTACGAGATTTTTGAGTACCCCCATATGAGAGAAATCAATAAAATTGAATTGAAGGCCTCTTATGACGACTTTATGAAGAACCTGAGTGAGCTCATTGATTCAAACAACCCCAAAGCTGATGAATACTTGGATAGAATAGAAAATGCTGTCTTTGACATTCTTATAGAACTAGAGGAGAATAACGAGGAGTGATAAGCTATGGTTAAATAGGTTGGTCAATTATTCCAACAACAGTATAGGAGTTGTGGTGACTTGGTGGTATATTGCGGTTTTACAGTTGATGACCTGGGAATGAGTCGTGGTAAAGTTGTAGTTATAAACGATAATAAATTTCTTATGTAGTTGAAATCCTTTCTTATTTGTGTGGATGATGTGATATTGACTGTCATAGAGAAGAAATGTAGAGTGCTCGATACTTAAAGAGATTACATTTAGAAAGTGAGCGTTATGCTTATTTATTAATACTGTACTGGCCAATGAAGAGAAGTGTTTTTGAACGCACATTTTTAGTAAAATCTAATAAATTAAATATAAATAGTTGTCAATATCGCCATCGTAACCGGCGGTAGCTCAGTGGTAGAGCATGCGACTGTAGAGGTGACGTAGTCATCGCATTGTCGGTGGTTCGATTCCGCCCCGCGGGAATTTTTTCTTTTTTCCTAGGGTGTTGATCAGCACTTTACTTTACGAGGACACGGGACTAATTCATCACTTAACTACGAATAGCAAAATAATTTTTTGTACTGCTCATTTTCCTAATTCGTTATTTCCCAGACAGTTTTGGTCAATTACAGCCACACTTATTCGAAAAGACATGATGAGCGTATTACATTCACAATTTGCCAAGTTTTGCGTTCGTCTGTTTCCACAGCAACTCTTTTAATTTTCGTAAGCACTCCCCTCCGATTTACAAAAAATGAGCAAACCAGCAATCGTAGGCATTGACCTAGGAACAACCAACTCGTGCATTTCTATAATGCAGGACAACGTGGCCACAATAATAGAGAACCAGGAAGGACAGCGAACTACGCCAAGTGTGATTAATATTTCGGGTGAAAACGTGATAGTTGGCAAACCGGCCCAGCGCAAACTGCTAACAGATCCTGAACACACTATTTTTAATGTAAAGAGACTTATCGGCCGGAAATACGCCGATGTTAAGGAATATACGAAAAGATTGCCGTTCAGTGTTATAGACGACAACGGAGAACTGAAGATTAAAGTGGATGATAAACGTTATGAACCGGCGAAGCTTTCGTCGTTTGTGCTATCGAAACTTAGAAGTGCTGCGGAGAGTTTCTTGAGCAGGCCAGTTAAGTTTGCAGTTATAACTGTGCCTGCGTATTTCAACCATACACAGCGGGAGGAGACTAAAAAGGCGGGCGAGTTGGCCGGGCTCAAAGTGCTACGGGTACTCAATGAACCGACCAGTGCAGCTCTAAATCATGCAATCACAGGTCACATCGCTGTATACGACTTAGGCGGTGGTACGTTTGATATCTCCATTCTGGAAAAAAGTGACAATATTTTTGAGGTTAAAGCGACCGCAGGGGATTCTTTTCTTGGTGGGGATGACATTGACAACACTTTGACAGATTTTTTGATGGAAAGGTTGAAAAATGGCAGGGAAATGAGTGACATTGATCTGGCGAAAATTAGGCCTAGAATTAAAAAAGCAGCTGAAAGTGCGAAGAAGGAGCTATCAACACAGGAAACCGTGACGATTGATATTCCATACGCGTACAAGGATACGCATTTTACGTATGAGCTAAAACGTGCTGAATTTGAGGATGTGGTTGCTCCACTGATAAAAAGAACTGTTAAACCGTGTTTAAAGGCCTTGAAAGATGCAAATATTGATCAAGTAGATCACCTCGTGCTCGTAGGTGGAATGACAAGGATGCCGTTGGTTAGAAAGCTGAGTGAAGAAATTTTTAATCGCAAACCGCTGTTTACGGCGTCACCTGACGAATCGGTGGCACAGGGTGCGGCAATTCAGGCCGCTATTCTATCGGGTGACGTAAACAAGCTCCTTCTTGATGTTACAAGCCTTAGCCTGGGAATAGAAACCGTAGGTGGACTGATGAGTACCATCGTAAAGCGAAATAGTACGTTGCCGCTGAAGAAAAGCAGCGTATTTACAACTAGTGAGGATAATCAAGAAGAGGTGATCGTTAATATTTATCAAGGAGAGAGCGAAAATGTAAAGGATAACTGTTTCTTAGGCAAAATAATCCTCAAGGACATTAAGAAAGCGCCTAAGGGCGTTCCACGAATTGAGGTTGGATTTGAGGCTGATGTGAATGGTATATACCGGGTGACCGCCAAGGATTTACTTACAGGAAGGGAACAGAGTGCCGAGGTGACAGGAATTCAGACCAAAGAAAAGGATGTTGCTGAAAAAATGCAGGATAAAGTGGACGAGAAGGATGAGATGGTTGATAAAAATGATGCAAACAAGTCCAATAGGTTTTTTGATCTGATTCAAAGTCTGCTGTCTAAGAATTCGCAAGAAGTTGTTGGTGACAAAAACGAAGAAATTCTATAGGATGATGATTGTTAGTGATTCAAACGACATGGTCGTGTTATTATTGTTTTACGCTAACCACTTCTGATATTTTTAATAATGTGGAGATTTTGTGATCGATATGAGGTGATTAACTAAATTATTCTTCGGCAAGTAATCATTTTAACCAGCCAATACTGGTTTTTTAAACAAGGCTGGCTCAAGAGATCCATCCCTTACGTCGTACTTTTATAAAACTTCCTATTGTTCAATGTAATTTTTCTTTAAAGAGTTACTTTTTTGGTGTTGACACTGTAAAACCAATATTAAATAACTAACTGTGCTATTTCATGTATAAAACGGAATGTAAAAATAGTGTTTACACAATAAATTTCTTCCCGATCAAATCCTTTTTTGTTTTACTCCGGCTAGTCCAGCGTTATTTGACTTTCATTCGCGACTTTAGAAGATTGATTATTAACTAAAGATGATACTTTCTTTAGGTATAATCGGTATAAGATTGCTAAAAGACATTTAAAACGTAGGAATTGAATAACAACACATAACCTTTTACTTTTTAGGACTAACCAGTCAAATTTCGAGTTATCCTGTTGTCGATGCCGATAAAACGCTTTCTAGTACATTTTAGATGTGCAGCCTTGATTTTTTTGACTTTTTATACAGTTTTAGGCAAATTATTGTTCAAAGTGACATCAAGGCATGTGGCTAAAAATTACAACGTGACAGTTACATAAACCAGCCATTTGTATGCATGTGAGTCAAGTATCGTAGCTGATCCTCTCCTTTTTTATCCTCATTCATATCTTTTTCCCTTCTAGGTAAGAGGGCAATCTTTATAATTATGACAGGTAAGAAAAATAAAGGTAAAGTAGTTCTACCTATGAATCACAGGCCGGTGGCCATGATTGGTTCTAGCGGACCTGAAAAGTGTGTTAATTTAGGTGAAGTATATAGTAATGACAATTAAACATGCTTTTAAAAAAAAGAAAAGGTGGTTTTACCTATTCTGCATGTTGATGTCATCTACATTACTAAAATGATAACATTTTAGATTTGTCGTGTTCACAATCATATTTTAAATAAAATGAGCAATACAGTCAAGTTTTCTCTTAAGAACCGGTAATACGAGTCAAGGAGGAATTTTTAACATCGAATCACTTATTGACACTTTACCATTTCTTATTTTAGTTTACTTCCGTTTTCGTAAAAACGAAAAATATATAAAAGGATGCTAACAGCGACGTACATGAACGTTTTATTGCTTATACCAACCTTTATCTCAGCATCGGGCATCGATGATTCAACACCAACCGTTCCTATACAACTACCTTGGAATACCGAATTAAACAGTGGTGTGATAAGTTACTACAAAGACGTGATCAAAAGAAAAAGTGAAGTGTTTCCAAAGTTTATTTTCATGGCGTATTTGAGCAAATCAGAAGAGAACCAATCAAACGTAGAGAACATGATACTAAAAATGAAATTTTATGCTAATAACTTAAGGCTGATCAATACAAATTTTTCTGATTATACGCTGCGAGTGAAGGAGGTTATCGATTCGCTATTGAACGATTCCGTAGTTGAAGCTGCATTTCCAATCGAATTCTGCATTTTACAACATATAGCAAAGAAGATGACAGTACCATCGTTACCAACTCCTAACTGCACTTTGAAGAAACATTTCGAATTTATACAATTTAAACTTGAAATTGTCGATTTCTTTAACCTTTTATACTCTAAAATGATTACGTATACGATATTCTCTCAGTATGTCAACGCAATAGAAACATCCTCGTGTTTTCTTTCGTATTCACACGATTACATTTTTTCAGAAAGAGTGAATGTTGAGGTTGCATTAAACCGACTTATTTCGAGGCTGTGTCATCTTTTAATAGATGTTTCTGGTCATCTACCGCGATTCAAAAGATTATCTATGAACGTAAAGAGAAAAAAACAGGAACTTCTGTCAAATCTAATCAATACGGTTCGAGAACAAATCAACACAATAAATATGCCTGTAAATACGTTCGTTGACGCAGATCTTGTTGTGAAATATCTCAAGCTTATTACAGACTGCCATAATATCTATCAAAGTATACTTAAAGTTCATAGGTTAATTTATAACGAAGAATTTGTGGACAAGAGCACGATTAGCAGCGAATTTATATCTCTGTACTATCATTACAAAGGAATTTATATTTTTTATAATGATACCAGCAACCATATGCTGTTTAAACAAATGTTGAATCTTACACAGGAACTTTATAATAGTGTTATTTATGGATTTCAACATGTGGTGATCTACGCGTTGAATGTACACAAGGTAGCTACAGCTCTACTAACAAAAATGTCAGAAATAACACAAATACCTGTTTGTCAAGTAGTAAGTTCAGAAATTGACGTATAATTAAAAGTTATTTTTATCATTGCAATATTTTGCTGACATTACGCATATAAAAAGTTAAATGGTTGAAAAAACTACACTCATCTCGATTAGTGGACGAATCTTTAACTTCATATTTCAATCAAATGCAAATTTTCTAATTCCATGTGATTTTTAGAAACTTTTAAACAAGAACTAGAAGAAAGTTTTTATACTTTTAAAGCTTGTCATACGCAAAATCAACACTGAATCATTTTTTTGAAAGATCATCGTTTAATTAATTCTTAACACTCAACATTGAATCATAAGTACCGATACGTTACTCGTTAACTTAATTTTTATAAAACAGTTTATAAACAGAAGGTTGTTCAAAGAAACCAAAATATTTAATTTATCTAAAACAGTCATAATTTATTGTTAGCCAACATACGCAATAAAGGTTTAGAGAGTTTTTATTTTGAACGATGCTCTTCTAAATTAGATATCTTTAATTAATTCAGATCTTTGACCAGTCTCAAGTCATCGTATTTTTTAATTGCATTGAAGAAACGTTGAACAGAAACAATATAACTCGTCAGGTATTAATATAATAGTGATACGCGGTTATTTTATGAGGTATGTTTATTTTACTCTTGCAGAACTTCTCCAGCCTCCTTTCACAGCTAACACTTAAAATCACAAATCATGTTTATGATAATTTTAAAGATTATCAAGAACATTAAGCAGCAAGAAAA